GTTGTATTGTAAATGTGTAATTACAATAATGTCAATAATGCAAGATCATGGAGATAGCAACAGAAAATAGCAAAAATAAGCAAAAATACGTTAAAGTAGGATCAGAGCATCCAGACCTCACCGGCATGATCATGATCATGGAGGAAGATTTTATGGAGGAGTGGTGGGAACTGGTATTGCTTTTACTGTCATTGAGCTGAACATGAACTCCTCTTTATACTAAAGTGTTCTAGTGTTAGATGTGAAGCCATCTGTCCAGCAGCTAAATAACACGGTTTAATGCCATGTTTTGTTCATCTGAACCTGGCACGCAGCACATGGTGTCTGTTATGTCTGGATACATAAACGCTCACTGACTCAGTGTCAGGAGAATAATGCACTTCTATAAAGAACAACAGACGATGATAACGCATGCGACAAAGCAACCTGTGCCATTTGGCACAATTTATTATAATTTAATGTCACCACAACACACTAGAATAACCCATGGATATATAAACCGCATATATAAACATGAATATAAAACTCTGGTGGAAATGATAGTGTTAATAATAGCTATGTGATTCCACTGATCTTGTCCCGTGCAGCTTTTGGAATCTGTAATTCCTTACTGCTACACTCATCCGATTTTAATGACTCGGAGTATTACAGTACGGAAAACTGCAGGAAACACAAAATGTCTGGTAAGGCGTTGGATCATCATGCCCCACATGAACAGCTTCCTGCAGACTCTCCAAAGGTCTGCAGGAGGAAAGGAACATTTTTACAAAGACATACTATTATTAGGTGTTCTGATGATGGTCGTTACGGCTGTCTGAGACATCCATCTAAAATCCTCCATTGGTCTTCAACGAGGTTGAGATCCAGTGAAAAGGAAAAGACCTAAATTATGCAAGCAAAACGTGAGGCTTGGATCCAAAAGTGCATGTTTTCAGTTTCAGGCATGCCACTCCACCAGAACCACTTACCTGCAGGAGTCAAATCTTCAGATTTCAGCTTTAATTTGCACTGCGCTGTATGAGGCAGTCTCTTCTCCAACATTGCTGAGGTGGTCGGTATCATAAAACTGTTCACCATGACCTGTTCTGATGGTGTTCCAGTGTGCAGTAATTCACTGGCTCATCTAGTTAGTGCTGCTTCACAACGTGTGGGCGAGGTGCACCAGTGAACCCCCATTACATGCTTTTCATTGAGTGACTGTTCAAGATACGTAAAACACACTGTGTTCATTTTTGCTTCTATTATAATCACAAGTCATTGTTTGCTTTTAAAAGACTGTTGCACATTGATTATATATCAATAACACCAATCATGGACACGATGCCTTTTCTATCATTAGTGTTTTCTTGGTGTGAGATATTAGAAGCTGATGCAGCTAAAAGCACTAAGTTTCACACCTTCTCCCAGGGGTGGTGCTGCCCTGCTATCAGTGTGTGTTACAGGTTTAAATGTCACAGAGTGTTTGTCCCACACAGAGAGACACAACAACCTGAGAACTGTAAGATATTTGAACTCTTACAGATGTGTTGTTTGGCTTTATTTCCTATCGTGACCATTCTTTAGTGTAGCTGACGCAGAGAGTTTACAGTGGATAAGTGCAGGACTGGGTTTGATGATACTTTGTTACCAGCGTTTTAGAACTGACTTTTATTCTATATGCAATACTAGGGGTGGGGGGAAAATGGATACTGTGTAG